CGCCAGGTCCCCATGCCCAGTGCGCGACGGGACAGTAGACGAGGAGATGCCACATGGCGATAAAGATGAGCATGGCGCTGTAGCGCATCCTCTCAGCGAAGGAACCGCAGATGATGGCGGCGCTGCCGTGAGGGTCAGTCATACTCTGCTGCTCGCTCCGAGCGGAACCTGATGACGGCAAAGGTCATCTGATACACCATGTACAGCTTCTCCGCGTCCTCTCCCACGTTGTGCCCGTCAACATGTGCCAGCCAAAAGTTGGTCGTGTTGCCCATGAACGCGTTCCCCTTAGCAGTCACCGCCATCAGCTCCACACGCCTTACACGCCTCCACACGCATCTTCACCTCGCTGAAGGCGATAGAGAATCCCATCGCAAACCAGAGGAAGCTCACGATGCACATGATGGAGAAACTCTGCATCACAGTCGACAGGACGTTGGGGGCCTGCCATCTCCTCACTGTCTGCCTAACGATATGTCCACCTGCTCCCACTTGTGCCAATCCACCGTAGAACATCGCGAGGCCGGGAACGGTCATCATGACTACCAGGATCGTAGCCACTGCGTCAGCATCAGTTGCTCCTTCGTCCCACAAAGCACAGAAGGGCATTTATTTCGCACTTAGCATCCACGCTGTATCGCCATGCGACGCTGTCTAGTGCATGCCTCGTCAGGACACAAGAGTGAGGGCCATGCTTGGAGAGCTCTTACCTCCTGCAGTGTCGATATGGCCGAGGCCTGCGCCGTCTTGAAGAGAGGCATGGAGTCAGCAGGGCTGGTGGCAACCAGCAAGGCAGGACAACGACTCATACGTTCTGGACGGTGTAAGTGTCGATTTCATCTTGTTGCTGCCTGACTAGATCCTGGGATCGAACCCGTTAGTTCTCTCCTCTCACTCCACTCACACTCGAGATTACATTAGTTTGGTTCAGGGCTAGTGACAAGGTCGCCAATTGCTTCTTAATAGCCTGTAGCAAACTCTCCTCAAAGGCTGGGCACCAGCTCTCAAGGCAAGCGCACCTGCAGTTGCTGCTCAAGGCTAGCTGTGGACATGCTACCGAAGCGTTTCTATCCCGGAGAGGATTGCGAGATGGAGAGGGCGAACCTGAAAGGACAAAAGTGAGCTCACAGTACTCAACTGACATTTGATATTCAGAACGGCTGATCTGTTCATGTCTGTCGATATCCATTACACTGCATCCCACTTCCACCTCTACTTTTGTTTCTGCCCCTCCTTGTCACGCAAGAGTGGATTTCCTCGCAACAGCATCCTCTCTGAATGTTTCCATTTCGTTTTCCTTGCCCTCTCTTCTCTCATGATCTATCTCCTGTATTGTTCCTCCTTTGTTTGTCCCTTGTTTCTTCTCTTTGTATGCTTTCTTTCCTCCGCTGTACCAACAAAGATCCTTTCCGATGTAGTTCTCATATCTCCCTTCTATCCCCCCTCCTACATCTCTCCCCCTTCTCCTCTCTCTTATCTTCTCCTCTCTCATCTTCTCTCATCCTCTCTCCCTCTTCTCCTACCCATCCTCCCTCCCCCATCACTGTCTCGCCCACTTCCTAACTTGCTCGCTTATCGCCCATTCGTTGGTCACTACGCTCCTGGTTCTATCTCTCGTCTTTTTTTTTGGTACAGGTAGGTGGGGGTGGTGGATAGAGGGTTCCGATGAGGTAGGGGTCATTGGGACGTAGCAACTGACAGGGTAGGTGTCGATACACTCGGAGGACGAGGGGGTGGTATGAGCATTCATGAGACAGCAATACGAATGAGGGGGTGATAAAAGGTCCTGGATAGGGGTAGAGAGCATGACATATGGGTGAAGGTGGTCATGTACCTGGGGGGGGTGCTATTTGCAGGGGTGGTCTAGATCAGTCGTAGGATGGGGAAGGATCTTGCAGGGAGGGGTAGTCGACCAGATCTTTAGAGCTCCAAGAGGAAACAAGAAGTGGGTAGGGGTAGTGACAGTGAGGGGAGGGGTGGTAGGTAGGGGTCCCAAGATTAAAATGGGGAAGGGTCGGTGGTAAATAATACGGGGGTAGTCAGAAGGGGAGGGTAGAGGTGAGATGAGAGTTGCATGACGCTGGACCATTTCGATCTTGACAAAACAAGAAGAAATGAGGAGGTTGGGGGTAGGGGGGGGGGGGGGGGGGGGGGGAGTAGGTAGGTAGGTAGGTAGGGTAGGGTACGGGAACGGGTAAACGGGGTAAACGGGGTAACGGGTACGGGTACGGGGTACGGGGGTAACGGGGGTAAACGGGGGTAAACGGGGTAAAC